GAACAGTTTGGCTTCGGAATCGGCACTATTATTCCGGTTCGCCAGCTGATGGGGTAAACGCCACGACGTCGGATCATCGGATATCCTACCGAGTCAGGACCTGTAGAGACACTACGTCCTTTGTCGAGTGCCCACAGAAGCTCATCCAGGGTGAAGTCCGCGTTATATATGTCGTCGGTGTCCGGAAGAAAATCCACGCGATCCCGTTCCGCTCTTTCCTACGCTGTTTGAAACAGTTGAGGATAACTTGAGGTCGCCGATCTCTCACAGTAGTGCTCGGCCAGTTCTTATGCTATTTCTTCTGCCTTCTCCGTGTAGCCATCGGGTCGCTTGATAACCGCCTTGCTGTATTGTCGTTTGCCTCTCAGGGTGTTCATCGTCCGCCGCATGTCTACCGTTGTGCTGCTAGGTGATGTTTTTCGGACAAAGTTCTCCCACGAATGTTCCTTAGCTTCCTTCACTACCTTCTTAGCCGCTGCCTTCGCTTTCTGGAACTGCTTCAAAACATCCGCTGTGTCCGATCCTGCTGTTCTGCTGCGCTTCAGTGCTCTCAGAAGTTTTCGACGCCGCTTAATCGCCGTTTTCACTTCCGGGCACCACCACGGTACCGATTTGGAACCAATTCGTCCTGATGTTCGAGGAATGCTAGCGGTTGCTGCTGATAATATCCGATTGACGAACTCATCAACCCCAATCTCGTCATCCGGTTTGATGCTGTTGGAAGAGCCATCTTCTCCGTTTTGTGGCGATCTGTGAGCATTCAGTTGAAGATACGGTGATTGGAAAGTGGTCGCTGCTGTGGGTATCCCGAAGTGCTCGCCAGATAAATCTGGGAGCTAGCACCTCCGAACAGATCAAGAGATCTATGGCAGAAGATAAATCATTTGCTGGATCCACCCGCGTGTGTGATCCGTAATTCAGGATTATCCCCAAGTAACAATTTGAGTTTTATTAGGGTTCTGCAGACCATGATTAAGACTTTTAGAATGCTTTAAAACCTCGATAAAACTTGAAATGTTACTTGGGTCAGCTGCTCCGTCAGTGTCTTTTCAGCGATGTAGCAGCCAAGTGCATTCGATGCCGTACAACCCCAGGCGGGATGGTGCGCATTGAAGTCACCAAGTACCAACATTGGCGCGGGCAGACGCTCCAAGAAATTTAATTGTGTTTGGCACTGTTGCTAGGAATTCGGAGAGATGTAGATCGACATTCCCCTCATTGCCGTCGGAAGATGGATGCGAACTGCAATGGCTTGAATATCACAATCGATATCGATGCGCTCAAATGGAGCCCCCTCACGGATGGCTGCCAGTACCGACGACCACCGGTTTGAAGAAGCAGGGTGTAGTTCTTGCCGGCAAAGTTTGGCGCGACCACACGATTATCCACTTTCGTCTCCTGCAGCGCTATAACGGACGGTTCATGCTCGCTGATGAGCAGTTTGAGCTCGCTGATGTTGGCACGTAGACCATGTATGTTCCACTGGAGGGCAACACATTTCGTGGGATGACTACTGCTGACTGTTGCTGATGACGAAGATGATGCTGACGGTCTGCGCGTTGGACCTGACATATCGGCCGGATTCCAGGAGGAAACAGAGGGTGCAAGACAATCGTGACTGGTCCCACTCTCGTCCCCCTGGACATCCACTCCCCTCCTGGGAAGGGGGAGGCTACTTCACGCTCTCCCTCCCCACACCGATTTTGGAATTCTGTCTGTTGCTGTAATGATGACGGCGGACATGTATCTCGACTTTGCTGTTGACGACGAACTTCACCGGTGGGAACAGTCCCGAACCGGTTATTACACGGCGAATGAGAACGACCCAGATTTGAGTTTAGTTCACTCATAGTCGCCAAAAGTGCAGGAACTCAGCGAGGAGTAAAATTTGTCTCATGGTTTCCTGTGGAAAACCTAAAAAATCTGCCGGAAAATGAGGAAATTGACGAAAATTTTATTCAGTCTCGGAGTAGTACCAATAGACTGAGTGAATCCAATCTTCACTTTTCTCAAATTCGGGAATTTTTCCCTGGAAAATCCTGGAAAAACCTGGGAAAACATGAGGCAAATTTACTCATCGCTGAGTTCCTGCACTTTTGGCTATTATGAGTGAACTAAACTCAAATTTGGGCCGTTCACATTTGCCGTGTAGGAATGATAGCGTCGGTGGCACTCACAATGTTGCGGTGGCTAGTGTTGGCTGACGGGGGATTTTCGATTGGCACTACATGCCGACGGTTGATTTCATTGGTAGGTAAGTGGTATGTGACTCTAATGTTTCATAATCGACCGCAGAGGGGGATTCTCCATCAACGGGTTGGGGTAAGACGTCCCGGATGGATCCTCCAGCCTGCTGCGCTCTCTCCTGTGAGATTGAAGGGGGTAATGGTTTATTTTCTAAAACAAATAAAAATTAACATTACCAATTACTAAAAGAAAATCTAACATCAGTTTTTTACAATTTCCATAGAACTCTATTGACTTTTATTTCAATATAAAGTTTTGCAACTATCCCACTTTCCTTGGAGATGGCTTAACCGATTCGAGTGCAATCATGTCCATCTTGTTTATATCTGAAATTCATAAAAGTGTTTTGAATTTATCCTCGCTTGGACATTTTTCAGTCATGGTAAATTTAGAGCTCCTTAATCACTGATTTTACATATGTGCGCCCCCTTTAAGAAACACCCATAATTATAATTGAGGAAAGTACACGCAAAACTAGAGTATGGGTAAAATTTACCTGAAATCAGAAAAACTTAGAAATACAAATTTTAGGTTTAACGTTGGATCTAAAAAAGCTACAATGTTTTATGTTCCACGTTTCAATCTTTGGAGTTGACCTTCTTCATGGGATAATAAGCAGTACCGTCTACCGTTCAGCGCAAAAACCTTTATGATCTAAAACTAAACTAGATTTTCACAATATTCTAGCGATATTGTTACATGCTTGTAAACAATTTCGGTGTTTATGCTAACCTATGCTAACTATAACTGAAAATTAAGTGAAGGGAGATATTTTCTATATTTCTATATTCTATATTCCTTCCTGGTCCGGTCTAGGAATTTTCGGGTTGAAAAATGTATCGACTTCCTTGGACATAGAGTATGATTGTACATGCCACTCAATTATACTAATGCAAAAATGGTACAGCCATCGAAAGCTCTTAATTAATAACAGTAGAAGTGCACCTAGCCCACTAAGTTGAGAGCACGCAATAAGCTCATATGCGATAAGCAATAAGCTTGAAATGCGATCAAGAAGAAGGATACGTTGAGCACATCTAATCCACTATCGTAATCCTCTCAAGCACTATCGCACTAACTTCGCGTCTTCTATAATTACCCAAGTGTCACGAGTGTTATCTGGCAATGACCTATTAATTCACATACGAATTTGCTTTCAATGTTACATCACAGTCTATTTTGCAACACGTGTTTATGTTCATTCACCTCCTGTTAATCCCTCTCACTAAATATGCACCACTACAATTATCACATCACACCCACTTATCGTTTCAGATTACTCCAGCGAACGCAAACGAATCCGATAAACCGAGCACTGTCAACAATCGGATTCAATGATCAACACCACATAAACCACAAATCGTCTTCATCAACACGATCTCAACAACAGGAAATGGTAACACACTGCCCCGCCGTAGTAGACCTGTAGCACACAGTAAACACACAGCTTGCTTCGATTTTCCCGAGTTCGATGTCGATATCACAAACTCTGACGTCCGGGACGGTTGGAATGTAGCGCGTTATTTTTCCTTCTCTCGCCTATCGGCTATCGAATTTAAATTAAAACATTCTCCGCGCTAAGACGGACTTGAGCGATTGGATCATGGTGCCTCTCTTGCAATCGGTAGTAGCTTAAAATAAACGAATTCGAAGCAGTCTATGCGCGGCAAGTTGCAAAGCTGCGACCAAAGCAACGGAATCTAGTAGGCGAGGTGCGTTCTTCTGTTCAGACTAACGGCGACGAGGAAACTCTCCGAAGCAAGAAGACCGCTGGCGGTCAACTATTGACCGATTGTACATGAGGATGCAAATAATTCAGCAACCCGAGCAGCAGCCAAGATGGCTGTAGTGTGAGCTAACGCTGCTTATTGTTAACAAACAAATTCTCACACTTGAAAGTAACAACAGCTGAGCGAACCGAGCAGTGAGTGAGTGCAACAGAACTCGGCATTGCATGAATTGCCGAGATGCAGATTTGCCGGTGAAAATTTCAAGCCAAACAATGTATTAGATCCTAAGAAATATTCACCGATTCTACCCGTCGATTGTTTCTTTGCATCCCATTTCATGGCCATGTATGGACAGTTCCAGGTACTTTCAACAAACAGTTCCATAGAAGAAGCTATTATCTAGCATCCCATACAGCAAACACAGCAAGAAACGGTGTTGTCGCCAAGTTATTAATGAAACGATCTGTTACTTAGGACCTAATCCATTGTTCGGCTGGATTTTTCTACGCGGGATGGGTATAAGTGTGGTTTTTAATTTAACTCGATCCGTTGAAGATTGCCAAAATAAAAATTGAGCGTGTTTTACGAGCAGCGTAGTGAAACTTAAATATCATCTGGCTGGTTGAAGCGGGTCATTTGTTGACGGGCGTTCGGGTGACGCAAATGTGATATTTTGATACATTCTGGTGGTGGAAAAGGATGAAAGAAATGCTAGACTTGGAAAATCTTTCTCCCGCAGGGAACGGGTCCGGCTTAGTGGTAAGCATTCATGCCTCTCATGCTGATGGTCACGAGTTCCCAGACAAGTTAAAAATTATCCCATGCGTGAAAGCGATGATTGAATGATGAATATGTCATGGTTGATCTAATGTATATTGTTCAGAAAACCTTAAATCTTCATGGTTTAACCAAAACCATCCATCACTGATATGAACAAGAATGATAAGAGTTTAATATACCACTCTTCGGACAAGTAGATTTCCTTTAAAACATCAACGTCAAAAAGACAAGTACTAGCCTATCAGTTTATCACAGATTATTTGAAGTGATTTTATTGATATTATTTCCATTCAACTCTTATCAATGGATTTAATAATACTGATTATGGTGGATCACAGATCCTAAATCAGCAAATTTGCGATGTTCAGGTGCGAGAGGTGGCCAATTCGCTTCAGGAATGGGTTCACTTCACAAGCATACGAATATCCCAGCGCAAGGTTCTTCCTGTCCCAGTTGATCCAGCTCACCTTATCGCCAATATCCTCGCAGAACATGTACTCATCTTGAATCCGTTGCATTGAATCGATGTGAATGTCATTCACACCAATCAGCACAATACCAGCATTGTTTCGTTCATCATGCAAAATTTTATAGTAGATCTTCGGTGCCGGCAGGCGTTGCGTTCCGTTCGGATCAAAGTCCAGGTAGATCGGTTGCTCATCACCGTTGGCATCGGTTTGGGTATGCACACCGTACGTGCCACCATAGACAGTGACGTGGATATTTCGGGCAGCTACAAAGTTGCGTGAACTATCTTCGATACGAAGCCAGTTTCCGTCGTTGAAGTTCTGCCATTGGGGTGCAGCCACCAAGAACCAAAAGGTAGCGTTCTGATGCGTTCCGTAGATGAAATCAGCGCGCGCAGCGATATGTCCACGGGCCATGTAAATTCCAGTGCTAACGTCCAATACCAGCTCATCGGCGATTTGCTGTGAATTCAGGATCGTACCCAAGGTTTGCCGCTGACGACTGATAGTGTACAGGGTATTCACGTTTATGCCAGGGTAGAAATTTCCTTGGTGCCAGGAAGGGCGTGGAACTCCCTGTTGGAAACCAGCATGAGCTCTATGAAACTCATGCTTGATCCAATGATTCTCAAATGTTTGTTCGTTGTGACAGACGTCCATGATCTTCGGGAAACGTGATCCCATATCGAATCCGATTTCTACGATGAACGCATTCTGTTCGCAAGATTGCGGAGTACGACGAGCAGTGCTGAACCAATTCTCCGTGCAGGAAAACTGACTAAATTGGTACATAGTGCTGTCGTAGTTGAACATGTTCTCAAACACGCATGACACCATGATGGAGTTCTTGCCCGGAGAAATATTGAAACCACTGTCGCAAGCCAGCTCTAGGTATTCTCCCGCCTCCAGATGTAGAAGTCGGTCATCCGATTGAGGATATCGGAATTGGTCAGTACCGGGAATCAGAAACAGCGGCTGTGGCCTCGGTAGCTGAGTATTGATATTGATTGTACACGCCGATGCTGAAACGAACGGACAAATTGAATCAAATTGAACACTTACACATTGACATCAAACTTACCCAGTTTATTCCACTCTGTTTCCTTGAGAGGAATGTCTCTCCCTTCTGCCATTGACCCGAAGGTCAGTACAACCGTTGCCAAGCACAACAAGACCTTCATTGTTCACCTTCGGTAACCACAAAATGAAACTGAAGGTAAGAGTGAAGAAGACTTTTTATACCAAGTCTCGTGCTTGTCGCTCCGATAGCTCCGTTATCGAACATGTTGAACACTGCCATTCGGACGTCATGATAACGTCAACACCGGCAGTTCGCTCTTATCAATCATCTGGAGTGGGAGAGCCACCCGGTCTTGTATATCGTGCTATGTCCTTAATAAACAACCAATCAGTATAGATCACTGCTTATTGGCGTCTGAGATAGCTAATAGAAACACCACCCCCGGCTATGTTTAAAGAAGACTTCTGTTTTAAAGTGAAAGTACCGTAAAACAGGGTAACATTGATAGTTTTTTTTAAGTATATTTTATATATTTTTTTTACAGCAATGAATGTTTTTCAAATTTTATATTTTTAAAACAAGTACTAAGGATCCAAGAGTTAATTCACTATTAATATGTTTTACGGAAATTAAAGCATTTACACTATTTTTTGTTTTGTGACCGAACTTCAGTATTTTGATTTGAGGTGAATGTGTGAATGTAGAAAAAAAATGAGTGAAACTCAAACAATTTAGTTCAAGATATATGAAACTTTGAAAGAGTATATAATCAGAAAACCTCATAAGCAATAAAAATACAACATTAAGTTTGTTATGGCTATATAAGAAATACATTTCATAAGTAATGGTTTGAGTGCTTTTTTAAACAGGCGAAAAACACGAAAATTGTTTTTTAAAGGGTGTCCACGATGAAATTGCCACACTATGAAATTGCTCTAACTTTTTAACCGTTGGGTAGAATTTAATGAAAATTTGGGTAGATTTAGTTCATAGTGCATTATTTACATCCTGCAAGTTTTAAAGTCCTGTGATCAAAACTCGCGGAAATGGAGTCGAAAGAACAGCTCGTGCGTGATAAAATCTTGCGCACCCAGACAACCAGAATGCACGTATATTCAAAGTTGTTTTCGTGATATACAAACATATATACAAACAAACAAGTCGTATAGAATGCAAAGAAATGGCTTATACGTACAAAAGTGGAGGCCATATACGTGCATATTTTCGTTTAATTTTAAACGAGTTGATTTAACATCATATGCAATTTGATCTGTAATAACAAATCCATTTTGAAAAGTCTTACGATGTAATCCGATTAAATTTGTGATACAGTACGACGGAAAAATGAGTCATCGCATATAAGTCGGAAATTTGCATTCTATACGATTTAACTTAAACATAATGCGAGGTATGCCATTCTAATATGCGATTTTGACTTAAACTGTAGCAATTTACGATACTGTCTGTACATTGTTATACGACTTCTGGTTGTCTGGGCATTCATCACGAGAACAAGGATCTCTCGCATCGTTCCATCGCTAAAACGTTGGGAATCGCGAATTCCACGGTGTCGCGAGTGATTAAGCGGTTCGAGGAACGGTTGACCACCGATCGGAAGCCCAGAAGTGAAGGAAAAAGTATTCCGTACAACACCAAAAATCACAACCGCGTAGTTGAGGCCTTCAACCGAAATCCGAACGCCTCCGTTAGGGATGTGGCTAAGAAGCTGCACCTAAGCCGAAGTTTTGTCCAGAAGGCCAAAACTAAGGCTGGGCTTCGAACGTTCAAGGTACAAAAGGCCCCTAATCGCGAAAAGAATCAGAACAAGTCCGCCAAAACCCGTGCCAGGAAGTTGTACTTCAACATGCTGACGAAAGTTGAATGCTGCATCATGGACGACGAAACATATGTGAAGGCCGACTTCAAACAGATCCCCGGCAACCTGTTTTTCACGGCCAAGGATAAGTTCAGCGTTCCGGAGCATGTCCGCACTCAGAAGATGTCCAAATTTGCGAAGGAATTCCTGGTTTGGCAAGCCATCTGCACGTGCGGGAAGCGGAGTGCACCTTTCGTGACCCAGGACACGATGAACGGACAGGTGTACATAAAAGAGTGCCTCCAGAAGCGGCTGCTTCCTCTCCTGAAGGCCCACAACGTCCCAACAATCTTCTGGCCAGATTTGGCCTCATGCCACTACTCCAAAGACGTGCTGAAGTGGTATGCGGACAATAAGGTCAATTTAGTGCCGAAAATGTTCAACCCTCCCAACACTTCGGAGCTCCGCCCCATCGAGACGTCCTGGGCGATTATGAAGCAGCACCTTCTTAAACGACCTAAGGTAGTGAAGACAGTCGAGGAACTGAAGAAAGTATGGGTTTACATGCAAAAAACGGTTGATTCACAGGTTGTGCAGAATCTTATGGCCGGGGTTAAGGCCAAGGTGCGGGCATTTGCGTATTTGGACTGTAAATAAAATACGAGTAAAATGGTAAAATGAAGTTTAATAGTTATTTCTCAATCCCTGAAAATTTGATGGCAATCGGATGAAAACTCGAATTTTGCGAATCAATTTTGTGTGTGGCAATTTCATCGTGGACACCCTTTAATATGTTTTTAAAATATGTTGCCCGTACTATATAAAAACTATATACGATATCAACGGAAATACCCTAAGCTTCAATATGGAACCAATGTTTCTAGTTTCTATTAAGCGCTGCGAGGAAATTTAATCTTTATAAATATTATACTATGAAAGCTACCCGCATTATCAAAGATACTCCGTTTTACAAAATTTTATTGCGAACGATCAATGTTTGGGACCGCTTGTATCATAATCTAATCATATTTTTTTAATTCAGTGTTATGTGAAAATCACGTCCATTTCATTGATTATGTAGGTGTGTTAGAAAAGAAACTCCCTGTGAAATTCAAGAGACATCACATACATTCAGAAAAGTAATCATTGTCCGCCTTAATCTCCAAACCTCTAATGAAATGTCCTCCTTTTCAAGTTTTTGATATGGTAACCCTAGTCGTGCGTGTCTGTTGTGCATTTGGTCTGAGCGTGTAATTGACAAATAAGAAAAACTAGATGAATAGAGAAAATGGGTAGATGTTGTCCAGCAAATTTTCAATAAGAAAAAAATGATAAATAGTTACGGAAATGAGGTTTTCTTATCTTGGTGTTCGTTGTGTGATGAGGCTGGTAAACCATTTAAATGTGATTCTACGGATTCTACGTTCAATTTGTCACGACATTAATTAATCAAGCATAAGCAAGAAGCGGAAGATAGTGGAATTAGTGCACCAGAAGGACATGCTCCAGTGCCTAATCGAATTACTTGTCATATCCATAAGGCTCATAGTGAAAAATATCTAGAATAGAGTTTTTTTTTTCAGTTTGCTGCTGGGACAATTTGCTGAAAAGGACAGTTTTGGGAATCTCCAAACATGTTTTAAATGGGGTGTAAATATGTTATGATCTATAAATTTACCTGTAGCATTTCATATGAACCATTCTAATTTCACTGCTTGGGAAACATGCTGTTGTATGATCAATTTAAGAGTTTTCATAAAATGAGAAATTATAAAAAAAGAGTTGCCAAACACGTAAACTACGCTTTGCCATCGCTGCCCAATAGCGATAGCAGTACGCGAAGCGTTTTTATAAATAAAAATCCACTTGGGGTTGCGGCACGATAAAATACACACAAGACATTACATGCAAGAACATAGCTTCTTATTTATTATTAACTCTCCTTTGTTCTCAGCAGAAGCTACAACTCTTTATTCCCATGGTGAAATTTCATAAGTTAACTGTAAATCTACAAGAAAAGTCGGTGTCTTCCACACGAATAAAGCACAAGGATGACACGCATTGATCAAAGATACTGGTATTGGTGATGACGAGTGTATTGATTTTGTATGCGGTTTTACGTGAGAAGGTGAAGGAGAGAAGAGTTTTTACTTTTTATTCACACAATAGTAAATAAGAAACACCGTTATAGTAAAGATAGTCTTCCGACTAAAATACAGTCGTCAACGTTAATATCGAATGGAAAATTGGGAAATCATTCACAATTGCACTTGCTTTATATTCAGAGGACCAACCAGTTCTCCCACTCCAGTGTTCTCTGGAGTGAGCTTCTGTGAGTTCACTGCAGAGTGTTCTTGAGCTCTTATGTCACTCACTAGTTTCCACCAGTGTAGAGTGATCTAATCTCACCGCGCAGTTCATTCCGAAAACTACACACACAGTAAGTGTGTAGTGAGCAATATACTGCGTATAGTGCTCTTTCTAGAACGAACAGAGCGAGAAGATTAGAATGTTAGCTCTTGTCTCTCACACAAACTTTGAGTGCTTTTCCAAACAGGCGAAAAACACGAAAATTGTTTTTTTTTTTATAATTGTTTGCAAAATATGTTACACGTACTAGTCCAGTCTAGTCTAGTCTACACATACACAGCCAGTACTTGAAAGAATCCTGGAAAATGATAGAAATACATCTATCATTTTTCTTGTCATTATTAATGCCTGCTGCACATCAAGGATGTGAAACAAACAATAAAGCGGCCAGGCCTACTGTGTAGCGTTTAGTTAATTTTTGTGGAAGTGAATGTTTACCATGTCTACTTAATAAGTATAGACCGTGGTTAACATTTAATCCACAGGTAATCAAAGAGCGGGGACATACCGTACCAACCGCTCCGTATGCAGGATTTGAAAATAGGCTGTATAAATCGTTGGGAGTGACAGAGCTAAGAAAGTTAATGTACACTCCTTGGTTGTCCGATCTCCTGGGATGGAACACAGGTATTTACCCCTTGTGTTCGAGCGTACAGTCCTCCCTCCGTACAAGCGTGGACGGCACCGCCCACCCACTGCCATCCCTCAATCGATCCAGCCGACCTCAGTCGAAGGACAACAGAGAGCGGTGTGCGGACGTAACCTATACGGAGGGAATGCTGTATTCGCCTAGGTTATAGCGCCCTTGCTCGCTATTCGTTATTCGCTGTCTACAATGAGAAGAAACAATGCATGAACTTACAACACGCCCGCATACACGTAGTACCGATATAAAATGTATATTGGTACTGCGTGTACACTTCCATCATCAAAGCAATTCCTGCTTTGTAGATGGCACGTATTTAGTAGGATGTCTCCTAAA